TCTGCTACCGGTTCTCTGAACTGCTCAAAATTTCCGCTACCAGTTCTCCAGAACCTGTCAGAACCTGCTGGATTTCACCCCTGCCTTGGAGGTTATCTAGTCCACTGCTTAAGCAGGAAACCCTATATATTTCTGTCCAGTCACTTCTTAAAATCTCCATTGATGGAGCCCTAATTGTTCTAACTGTCAGGAGATTTCTAATTCTATGTTCGTTCTCTCCTTGATTAGTTTCCATCCATTGCTTTGTGTCCTGCCTTCTAGGTATTTTGGAGATTAAGTTGACCCCATCTTCTTTGTGGCAAACCCTTAGATATTGGCACATTGCTATCATGTCATGTCTAGTGTCCCCCCTAGAATGATTGGTTGCGTCCAAGGTCTTCTGGCTCCTGGTGTTTAATCATTAGCTGTGACCCCCTCCCCCACCCATAACACCCATTTTGTGAATAGTAAAGTTAAAGGTAAAGGTTCCCCTCACATATATGTGCTAGTTGTTCTCAACTCTAGGGGGCGGTGCTCATCTCCGTTTCAAAGCCGAAGAGCCAGCGCTGTCCAAAGACGTCTCCGTGGTCATGTGGCCAGAATGACTCAATGCCAAAGGCGCCACGGAACGCTGTTACCTTCCCACCAAAGATGGTCCCTATTTTTCTACTTGCGTTTTTTACGTGCTTTCGAACTGCTAGGTTGGCAGAAGCTGGGACAAGTAACGGGAGCTCACCCCATTACGCGGCACTAGGGATTCGAACCGCTGAACTGCCGACCTTTCGATCGACAAGCTCAGCGTCTTTGAGTCACTGCATCCCATTTTGTCAATATGTCAACAACAACAACAAAAAAAAAAATCCATCCCAGGAAGCCATTTTGAGAAGATGCCCATAAAAAGCTCTTCGAATTCCAGATATGGTAACTGACCAGAAATGATCGTCTAAAACACTGGTTGAATTAAAAAAAAAAAATGAGTTTGGCTGATGGAGGACTTAAAAGGTTCTTCTGCTAACCCCTGATGGAGCTGAATTGCCAACTCTGTGCTGATAGAAGTCCTTGATGGAAAATGGCTGAATCCTGCCTTAGGCCTTTAGGAGGAGGTGGGTTTAATATGTCTAGTTTAATAATCGACATCCTGTTTTTGAACACACACAGACAGTGCAGATGGATAGGAATTTTGCCCAGACAGGTTGAGTGAGATTGTAGCTACTGGTGGAGAAATTGCTATTATTTATTATTAACTCAACAGTAAGATTCTCTACGTGGGGGTATATGTATAAGACCGATTTTTATCCCCAGCAGGGTATTTCCAGGGTGTATATTTTCCCCTCTCTTTGTTTTGCTTAATGTTTTACTTTCTTAGGATGGGGGGGGGAGAGAGGGCATAAATGTCTGTTGTTTCAGTATGGAATTGGGAAGGGAAGAGAGCTATAGGTGATGATTTTTAGTGCCTTAGGCAAAAAAAAAAAAAATGAATAAAGCAGAACATGCCAAACTCTTTGATAGAGGATGAGCTGAATGTGTACAAAATGCTATGCTGATGGGAAAGGATGGATATGTGGATGAACAGAAGGTTTGATATTAATTACAGATGAAGTTAGGCAGTGCCAATTTTATTTTATTTTATTTTATTTGCATTCCCCCCCCCTAACAGTTTCAATATCAGTTTCATGGAAGAATTGCTACTGATTTCTGTCAAGGAAGAGTGCACAGAGCTTTTGAGTGAAAATATTCTGTTTTTCACTGTACAATCATTTCTCTGGGTCTAAAATCTTCAATTTGCATCAATTGTTTCCTTATATAAATACTAGCTGGATACCCGTGCTTCTCTACTTATGACCATTTTTCACACTTACGACCATGGTCTTGACAGACTGTCATTGTCATCATCACCAACAAAGTCTATCTGGCAGGAGTGAAATCTAAAATTTTTCCCTACCGATTCCGTAGGCTTGGTGGGTGTGGCAGCAGAAGGATACTGCAAAATCTCCATTCCTACCCCACTCTAGGGAAGAATACTGCAAAATCCCCATTCCTTCCCCACTCCTGGGGGAAGGATATTGCAAAATCTCCATTCCCACCCCACTCTGGGGCCAGCCAGAGGTGGTATTTGCCAGTTCTCCAAACTACTCAAAATTTCCGCTACCGGTTCTCCAGAACCTGTCAGAACCTGCTGGATTTCACCCCTGATATCTGGAGAAATGAAGGCTGCTGCTGAGGCCCTGCCATGATACTCCCTATCCTGTGGTAGACCTGCCAAGGCACTTTGAATGTTGGCATAAAATTTCCCTCCTTCACCTCTCTGGCTCCAAAAGACATCATTTTGAAGCATCCGTTGTACTTCCAGGCAGCAGAAAGACAGTCTTTTCCCTTTAACTGGTGTTACAGTAGAAGGAACAGATTCGTCTGAACTGAGAAGGTCACCGTTAGAAGTGAGTTGGGGCTGGGACACTATGCAGGAGAAATTCGGTTCACAATCCGTTGTCTCAATGGTGGTCGGTGATTGAAACACATAAGGGAATATCTCTCCCACCGCCTTGAGTCCGGAAGCAGTTCCAAAGATGGAAGGCGTAGACATTTTGGTGACGTAGTGAGGTTTAGTACCGTAAGGAGCCCCAGACCGCTCCTGAGTGAAGGAGTGGAATATCTGCCGGTTTGAACTGAGGTAATGGATTGTGAGGCAACCGGCAGTTGGAACAGAGTTCTTTTCAGGTGGGGAGAGGTGTAGAACATTTAACTCCTTAGCATGAGAGCGTGTGAATATAATATTGTATATGAAATACTAGTGATCTGATCAGGGGTGAAATCTAAAATTTGTTACTACCGGTTCTGTGGGCATGGCTTGGTGGGGGTGGGGTAATGTAACTGGGTGGGCGTGGCCAATTTTTTTTTTTACTTTTAAAACTATTTTTTACATGTAAAACCATGTAAAAAATGCTTTCAAAAGGCTCTGACAATCCAAGCTGAGTTGCCTGAGCTTGGCTCGTTAGAGCCATTTAAAAGAAAAAAAAAGGCTCTGATGATCACGCGGCTCAGCTGGGCATGGGGGGCGGGGGCAGGGATTTTTGCTACTGGTTCTCCGAACTGCCCACCGCCATCGCTACCTACTCACCCGAGCCAGTCCGAACCGGGAGCATTTCACCCCTGGATCTGATGGTCATTTTGAAAAATCCTTTCTTAGCAAGCACCTAGAAACCAAGAGGAACATACGTGCCAAATTTCAAGTTTGTAGGCTTTACCGTTCTGGTGATTTCGTGATGAGTGAGTGGATTTTGCTTTTATATATATAGATAAGGAAAAGAATCAGGAAAAATCCCTTCTGTATCTTGCCTAGCTTGAAGGACTAGCATCAACCTTGAAAATATGCTCAGGTTCCTCTCTTGTGCTATCCTATACTAAGCCAAGTAAAGTGTTGAGTTTCTTTCTTAATCTCTCTCTTCTTTTTTTCTTCCTTCCCCATTCCCAAGTTTTACATTCCTTCATGAAAGCAGTTCTAAAATTGTGGAAACATCTATGCGATGAATTCTCAGGCAGGTCCATCTTTGCTCCACCTAGTTTGCATGGATAGTGTTGTGGCTCCGTTGCCTGAGCCTGGGCTATCGACAGATGCAGACTCTGAGAGTGAGGGGGAGGAGTTGGCAAGGCCTCCCTCTCCAGGACCCTCCTCTCTGGCAATGCATCCGGAGGACACCGAAGGCCAAACGATAGGCTCAGAGCCAAGCACATCCCTGCAGCCACAGGAGGACAGCGACGAGGAAGATAAGTGCTGGCTGGACCCTCGACAGAGGCGCAGGGAGAAGTGTGCACAGCAGAGGGGAAGGCATGCCAGAGATTAGCTGAGTCACTGGACCACACCCCACAGGGTATAAATGTGGGTATGGTGGCCGGTTCAGTTTGTGATGAGTAAAAACTGGAAATACTCCATGATCTCTGCGTTACTGGACTTTGCCTGCTTTATCGGACTGCATTTGGACTAATCTTTGTTTTGTGTGAGTAAAGTCTGAATTGGCAGATAGCCACTGGGTTGCTGCCAGCTTTATCATCAAAGAGTTTTGTCGTGTGGCTTATTAACTCCGGGCCGTCTGTGGGGCTGTGTGTGTGGTACGGGGACAGAACATATCTCTAGGATCCCTGCTGCTCTCTGAGCTTGATGGTTTTCTTGCAGATGTTTCATTACCAAACTAGGCATCATCATCAATGCGAGGAAGCCACCAAGATCGGAGAGCACCAAGGGCCCTATGCGGGGGTGGGCTCCTGTGGGATTCAGCAAGGTTCGGGTGATCCTCTAGCCAAGGATCGCTGGGGTTTGGCGAACCCCCAAATGCCACCCTTGGTTGGCCATGCCCACCCTGTCCCACCCATCCTAGGAGTCTCCATGTGGCCTGTTCATCATTCCAGGTAAGTGCAGGGGCCTCCTGGAGGTTCCGGAAGTCCGGAAACGGGCCTGTTTCCAGCTTCCGGAGAGCCTCCAGACCTCGGGGGAAGCTGTTTTCACCTTTCTGGAGGCTCGTGGAAAGCCTCCGGAGCCTGGGGAGGGTGAAAAATGCCTCCCCTCCCGCTGTGGTGTAGGCAGCTGACTAGGCCACGCCCACCATGGCCACGCCCACCCAGCAACAGGGCAGTGAACCCGTTGCTAATGGATCTGAAGCCCACCCCTGGCCCTGTGTAGGTCAACTTTGACCTACAAATATTCTCTTTGTGAGCTCTGATGGCGCAGTGGTTAGAATGCAATATTTCAGGCAAACTCTGCCTACAGCCTGGAGTTCGATCCTGACTGATTCAAAGTTGACTCAGCCTTCCATCTTTCTGAATCCTCATCAGTCCTTATTGTTGAGGGCAATATGCCGACATTGTAAACTGCCCAGAGAGTGCTGTAAAGCACTATATAAGTCTACGTGGTATATAAGTCTACGTGGTATTGATATTTGCATAGATCTCCTGAGTTTTTCTAAACGCTAGAACACCCAAGGCCGAACGTATTAGAAGGAGCTTTTGAAATAAGTTCTTTTGCTTTCTAGAAAAAAAGAAGCCTCCAAAGGGCAAGCATCTCCACGACTGGAAAGGACGGAGGAACGCCATTCATCTCACAAATGAGTATACGGTGGAAACACTTGTGGTGGCAGATGCTGACATGGTCCAATATCATGGAGTTGATGCGGCTCAACGATTCATCCTTACTGTGATGAACATGGTAGGTAGAACAGCATGTCTCTACTCTGCCCTTCAGAAAATAATAATAATAACAACAACAACAACAGTGATACCCATTGTCCAAGAATTTGATAAAATGCACCAGTCAATGGTATTTGTGATGCATTTTTGAATGTTCAGTTGACTGAGTTTCATGTTTAATGAATAAAGTAAATAATAATAACAACAACAACAATAACAGTGATACCCATTGTCATCGGGGCACTTGGTACCATGTCCAAGAATTTCACAAAACACTTCAAGAAATTGCAGCTTCCTGCAATAACACCAGCGGAACTGCAAAAAACTGTGCTACTCGGAACATCATATATTTTAAGAAGATACTTGGTTGATACCTAGGATGCTGGCAGCAACCCGTATCAACCATTAGCACCAGTCAATGGTATTTGTGATGCATTTTTGAATGTTCAGTTGACTGAGTTTCATTTTTAATGAAGATAATAATAATAATAATAATAATAATAATAATAATAATAATAATAATACAACAACAACAACATGACCGTGTTGCTAAGATCATTCACTGGAAATTGTGCCAGAAGTCTGGATTTGAGTACAGCAAAAACCACTGGGAACATCAGGTTGAGAAAGTTTTAGAGAATGAGAAACTCAAGATCTTGTGGGACTTTAGGATTCCGACTGACAGGCACTTGGTCCACAACACACCTGACATAACAATAGTTGAAAAGAAAAAAGTATGGTTCATTGACATTTCAATACCTGGTGATGCACGGATTGAAGATAAGCAGCAAGAAAAAATCACAAAGTACCGGGACTTGCAAATTGAAGTTGAGCGACTGTGGAAAAAGAAATCGTGTGTTGTCCCGATTGTAATTGGAGCCCGCGGAGCAATACCCAAAGGGCTACCCCGCTATTTAGAAATTCTAAATTTGCCAGACTTGAACATTTTGACTACAAAAAACCACCTTACTCGGAACAGCTTACATCCTCCGACGATACCTTAACAGTTCCTAGATCCTTGGTTACGACTCGAGCTGCTGAGCTATTAACCAGCCTCACAGGCTGTGAATCTCACTAAAGATTAAATAATAATAATAATAATAATAATAATAATAATAATAATAATAATAATAATAAATAGAACATAGAATGAAACATAGAACATAGACAAGGGACCTTGGAAGTCCTCTAGTCTAACTTCCTGCTCAAGCTGGAGCCTGGTTTAGCTCAACAGACAGAAGCACTGTAATTTAACACCAGCTGTCTGCAATTAAAGTAAGATCGAATCTCGCCAGGCTCAAGGTTGACTCAGCCTTTCATCCTTTCTAAGGTAGGTAAATTGAGGACCCAGTTTGTGGGGGCAATAAGCTGACTTTGTATAAGTATGAAGGCTATTGCTTAACACACTGTAAGCCGCCCTGAGTCTCCGGAGAAGGGCGGCATATAAATCAAATTAAAAAAAAAAAAAAGCTGGAGACCCTATAGCATTTTGGACAAATAGCTATTCAACCTCTTCTTAAAAGCCTTCAGTGATGGAGCAGCCACAACTTCTGGAGGCAAGCTGTTCCACTGATTAATTGTTCTCACTGTCAAGAAATCTCTCCTCAGTTCTAGGTTGGATCTCTCTTTAATGATCTTCCCACCCATTACTTTCTGTCCTGCTCTGAAGTACTTTGGATAAAGAAAGTAGCTAAAAGACATGAGGGCTTCCTCAATTATTCAAAACTAGCCCAGTGCTTATACTTGTATTTGAGGGTAGGCATCACTTTGTTTTAATGTGGAAGAGCGTTCTGTCCCTCTCTAACTTGGTTGTTTTTCTGCAGACATTTCATTACTCACATTAAGTAAAATACCATCAGTGCTAGTGTTACCTAGTTTGAGTAATGAAACGTCTATGGGAAAACAACCATGCTCAGAGAGCACCAAGGACCCCTCGTTTCAACCCTGAACTACAAATATTCTCCTTTAGTGGAAACCCTATAAGGATGGGTTCAGACTTAGCACATACAATCCAGCAGTCGAGTCTGATTCAACCAAATATGCCTTAGTTTGAAGTGCGAAAATCTTGCCATTGAATTTCGGAGGTCTTCAGACGGAAACCTTATCAAAAGGGCTCTAAACCACCTCCTTTTTTTAGGGCCAGTTCATTTCTAAACCAGTGGTAGGGCCATGTTCATTTCCCCATCCAGACACATGGCAGCTGTTTACTTCTACTGAAAATCAGAGGTGGGCTGCTGGGGGTTCTCAGAGGTTCGGGAGAACCTCTAGCTAAGATTCTGTGCCGTTCAGAGAACCCCCAAATCAGGGGTGAAATGCTTCTGGTTCGGACCAGATCAGGCAACCCAGTAGCGATTGTGGCAGGTGGTTTGGAGAACCGGTAGCAATGGCGGCGTGAAGCTCTGCCCATCTGCTCGGGTGTCGTTACTTCCTGCTTTTAAAAGGTAAAAAAAGGCTCTGATGATCACGCGCCACAACTGATCACCCCCCTCCCGTGTGCTGTTCTACTTACCTTCCCAAGTCTCCTTTTGGTGTGCACGCCCACACCTCGCATTTGGTGCGTGGTGTGTAATGCACATATGCGCGCGCAATGCATGTTTGGCGCACAATGTGCATGCACAGCCAGCAAACTGGTAGTCAACTGGTTCAGATTTCACCACTGCCCCAAATCCCACTGTTGGCTGGCACCTCCCACCCTGCCCCGCCCCTCCCAGGAGTCCTCACACTGCCTGTTTTGGATGCAGGTCAGTGCAGGGCACTCATGGAGGCTTAGGGAGGATGAAAAACGGGCCTACCGGAAGTTCAGGAAGGTTGGAAACAGGCCCATTTCTGGCCTCCAAAGGGCCTCTGGAGCCTGGGGAGGCTGTTTTTGCCCTTCCGGAGGCTCAAGGAAAGCCTCCGGAGCCTGAGGAGGGCAAAAACACCCCCGCCCCCACCATGGGCACTCTCTCAAAACAATTCTCCTGTGCGGAGCGCACGCGTCTCATAATCGCGTCTCTCCACACTGTACCGAGCCTTGACAAATCGTCATGTCAAATACAAATACGTCACATCACACGCAACGGATCGGATCGGCATCGATCGAATACGGAGATTTACAGATTAGTCTTCAAATAACGAAAAGGAGGACATGTATGAGGACACTTTTCGAGAGAGGACAGAACTTACAGAAGAAGGACTGTCCTCCCTAAAGGAGAACGATTGGTTACCTTACGACTAGGCCACGCCCACCATGGCCACGCCCACCCAGCAACCGGGCCGAGAACCCCTTGCAAACCCACCCCTACTGAAACCCCCCTCATAAAGCACTGGGTAGAGGAAGTGTGGCTGTTTTTCTTGTGACCCTTCATCCATCTTTTAGTGGGAGAAACAGCTCTCTGAACGAGATAGATTGCAACGCAGCAGGATAATGGCAGGACTCAAGCATTGCTACCTACAGTTGTAATCTTGTCTACGTTGCTGGTGAAAAACGGCTAAACTGAATCATTGTTTTGAGTTATTGGTTGTCAGCGAAGGCAGAGATACGTTTCCAGCTGGATATGTTGAACTCCGATGTAGCAACCTGCAGATTTTGGCCTCTTAACGTTCGACGTCTGCTTGGGGTTTGCTAGGGGGATGAACAGCTGCTTCTAAAAGAAACCAGAATGTTAATTTTGGCATGCATGTCAGGATTTAAGCAAATAGAACATTGCTGTCAAGCAAAGGAGGTTATTTATTCATTGAGGTCCTTGCTGTAAGGCATTGCCTTCACTGTCAAACCACAAAGTGAGACTTAAAATGGCTTATTAGCACACGCATTATGCTTGCAGTTTTTTTTTGTTTTTTTTTTGAAGGTTGGGCCTTCTGAAAGCAATTTCATTTCTGTTCCTTCCGAGAAAAATAAAACCTTGCAAAATATTCATTAAAATCCCTTTCAACCCCTGAATGTGAATTGAAAAGAAAAAGGCGCAGTCGTAAATGAAGTCCATCTCTTATTAAAAAGGCTTCATATCTACTTTGAATGTATTTTTAAAGCTTTGAAATAATGAAATACGAAATAATTCATATTCTGACATTTATGCTCTCTGCATAGGATGTAGAAATAAATGCCGGTAATAAGTATTAGCCAGCACTTCAGAGGAATAGGATATATGTGCTTAGAAGGAAAATACGATGCTCCCTAAGATGTGCTAATTCAGAAATGAAAATGCACAGTTTTCCAATATCTCAGGGGCTGCCACAAAGAAGAGGGAGTCAAGCTATTCTCCAAAGCACCTGAGGGCAGGACAAGAAGCAATGGGTGGAAACCAATGGTGAAATCCAATTTTTTTTACTACCGGTTCTGTGGGCGTGGCTTGGTGGGCATGGCAGGGAAAGGATACTGCAAAATCTCCATTCCCACCCCACTCCATTCCCACCCCACTCTGGGGCCAACCAGAGGTGGTATTTGCCAGTTCTCTGAACTGCTCAAAATTTCTTCTACCAGTTCTCCAGAACCTGTCAGAACCTGCTGGATTTCACCCCGGTGAAAACTAATCAAGGAGAGAAGCAACTTAGAACTAAGGAGAAATTTCCTGATAGTGAGAACAATGAATCAGTGGAACAACTCATCTCCAGAAGTTGTGAATGCTCCAACACTGGAAGTTTTTAAGAAGATGTTGGACAACCATTTGTCTGAAGTGGTGTAGGGTTTCCTGCCTAAGCAGGGGGTTGGACTAGAAGACCTCCAAGGTTCTCTTCGAATTCCGTTCTTTCCTCTGAAATGTAAACCATTTCCAACAATGTATTGTACACATAACTTAAATGTATGCAAGGATCTGCACTGGAAGTTTTTATATCCACCCGGTGATCTTCTGGGTGCGCTTCAAGGTATTGGTTACCACCTTTAGAGCGCTCCATGGCTTAGGACCTGGGTACCTACGAGACCACCTTCTGCCACCGGTAGCCTCTCACCGGCCAGTATGCTCCCACAGAGAGGGGCTCCTCAGGGTGCCGTCGGTCAAACAGTGTCGACTGGCGGCACCCCAGGGGGAGAGCCTTCTCTGTGGGGGCACCTGCCCTTTGGAACGAGCTCCCCCCGGAGATACGGAGGATCCCGGATTTACGCACTTTCCGCCGTGCCCTCAAGACTTTTTTATTCCAACAAGCTGGGCTGGCCTAACTCTTTTTAATTGCTTAATTTTAATTTGCTTTTTAAAAAAGGGGTGTTTTAATTAGTATGGGCCAAATTTGTTTAAAATGTTTTAAATTGTTTTTAAATTTTATATTGTATGTGTTTTATCTTTGACTGTTCACCGCCCTGAGTCCTTCGGGAGAAGGGCGCTATATAAATCTAAATAAACCTAAACCTAAAACTTAAGAGATTGGACAACCATTTTTTTTTAAAATGGTATAGAACAGTGATGGCTAACCTTTTTGCCATCGCGTGCCAGGAAGGGGTGGGGGGGGGGTCACAGGCGCACTTGCCCACACCCATAATTCTATGTGCCATGCCCCTACGCATGCATGCACAACTCCCCCCCCGTTTCCCCTCCTCCCCTGGCACGTGATGGCCCGGTAGGCCCATTTTTTGCTGTCCCCAGCCTCCAGAGTCTCTCTAGAAGTCTGGGGAGGATGAAAATGACCTTCCTCATCACCCCTTGAGGCCCTCCAGAGCCTGTTTCCCTACTTTTGATGGGCCCAGAAGGCGCGAAAATCAGCTGGCCGTCGCACACATGCGTGCCGGAGCTGAGCTTGCGTGCCCACTGATATGGCTACGTGTGCCACCTGTGGCACGCATGCCATAGATTCGCCATCGCACGGGTATAGAGTTTCCTGCCTCAGTAGAGGGTTGGACTAGAAGACCTCCAAGGTTGCTTCCAACCCTGTTATTCTGTTAATTGCCAGCTGATTAATTATGCAATGTTTTTTTTTAATTGAAAAGTTTTACAAAGAAAATCCCCCCCCAATATTCCCCCCACCCTCTTTAGTCTCTAATGCTGTACAATCCATCGTTATCCCCAATAAAAACAATTGAGGAGTAAATTGCAACCTTTTTTTCAAAATGTTCTGCATCACCCACCAAATTTTTATCCAAAATGCTTTAATAATCCACCATATATGATAATAAATTGGATCATCACATTCACATCTCCAACATTTAGCTTGAAAATCCGGGTACATACATGATAATTTTTTAGGGTTTAAATGCCATCTATAAAACATTTTATAAAAATTCTCTCTCAGGTTTTGTGCTTGCGTAAATTTAACATTTCTAACCCAGATCTTTTCCCATGTTTCTATCATCACTGGTTCCTGAAGGTTTTGTGCCCATTTTATTATACAATCCTTAACCAATTCCGTTTCTGAATCTACTTCCAATAAAGCGTTATACAACCTTTTAATTATGCAATGTTTTTAATTGCTTGGTGTTCTTATCCAAGTAATTAATTGGTGTCATCGTTCTAGTTTCATTTATTTAGCTTCCCTTCGTTGCCTGTATTAAACTCCGAACTGCTTAAGACAGGATTCTATCTTTTTCGCATATGTTCATTTTTTAAAACGTCCTCTGCATTGATGCCCTTGGATACATACAAATAAACAATAAAGCCGCATATTATTTCAGTCATATCCGTTTCAAAATCCTCTCCCCTTGCCGATCAGATTTAAAATGTTTGCATGGATAGGCTCGATTTTCATGGGAGAGGTTCCAACTTTCTCTCTCTGTCTCTCTCCAAATATTTAATAATACCTGGAGGAATAATTTCAAAAATGAAGATCAGTCTGTTTTGAAAGAAAATCACATTGACTTCCTAGACTTTTCTTCCTATTTAAAGCATGTGTTAGTTGAAAGCTTCTCTCTTCTTTGCCTCTTTTGTGTGTGTGTGTGTTTTTTTTTTTTAAAAAAAATAATGTTCAAGGGATCACTAATTTCATGTTACGGCATGCTCCTTCAAAAAACCCTTACATTAATTATAAGGTTTAACAGCAGCTACCAAGGATATACATTTACAATTCCTTGTCAGTTTGTGGTCTTTTGAGAAACAGATGCATGTTCATTTGAAAGCCAGAAAGAAAAGTATGTCCGATGCATCTATTTTGAAAGCAATTGTCGTAATTTAAGGACTTTTGTACATTATGGTTCAGTGGGCTTTGCCTATGGAGCTTCCCATTCTGCAAAGAGGTTAGAGGAACTGCTCTTTAATTATAGGCTCCTTCTACCATTCAACATTTTTCGGTAGTTGACCGGAGGAGTGTGGGAGTACAGCTAATTCCTAGTTGGGATGTAGACTTGCAGAGCATAGTGAATGATTATTTTGGCAAAGTTGCTGGGTCCTTTTCTTGATCGCTCAAAAAGGAATGAGCAGCAGAGCACAAATCGTGCCTTTAAATCGTTCTTTTGTGTGTTCTTGGTTTCAAAAATGTGGTTCTTCCGATGTCCAAGATAACTGGATGAGCAATTGGTGACCCTGCAAAAATTCCTCTATTTGTTTAAAATATATATATATATATATATGCAGAGAACAAAGCAAGTCGGTCATGATTTAATATATTTTTGTTCAATGAATGCCTTTCAGTGCTGTGAAGTTATGGTCCTTTTATTGCTTTTATTCAGGTGTATAACATGTTTCAACACCAGAGTCTTGGAGTGAAAGTCTACGTTCGAGTGACGAAGCTTGTCTTGCTTCGAAGACGTCCTGTAAGTTGCTTTCCAGCTTTGACTGAAACTGTGGGTAGTGGTATCTCTTCCTAGTGGACAACCATTTAAATATGAGCCAGCAGTGTGCTGCAGCTGCCAAAACAGCCAACACAGTTCTAGGCTGCATAAAGAGAGGGATAGAATCGAGATCACATGAAGTGTTAATACCACATTATAATGCCTTGGTAAGGCCACACTTGGAATACTGCATCCAGTTTTGGTTGCCACGATGTAAAAAATATATGGAGACTCTAGAAAGAGTGCAGAGAAGAGCAAGAAAGATGATTAGGGGACTGGAGGCTAAAATGTATGAAGAACGGTTGCAGGAATTGGGTATGTCTAGTTTAATGAAAAGAAGGACTAGGGGAGACATGATAGCAAGCCTTCCAATATCTGAGAGGCTGCCACAAAGAAGAGGGAGTCAAGCTATTCTCCAAAGCACCTGAGGGCAGGACAAGAAGCAATGGGTGGAAACTCATCAAGGAGAGAAGCAACTTAGAACTAAAGAGAAATTTCCTGACAGTTAGAACAATTAACCAGTGGAACAACTTGCCTCCAGAAGTTGTGGATGCTCCGACACTGGAAGTTTTAAAGAAGATGTTGGATAACCATTTGTCTGAAGTGGTGTAGGGTTTCCTGCCTAAGCAGGGGGTTGGACTAAGGTCCCTTCCAAGTCTGTCATTCTATTCTATTCTATTCTATTCTATTCTATTCTATTCTATTCTATTCTATTCCATTCCATTCCATTCCATTCCATTCCATTCCATTCTTATCCTATCCTACCCTACCCTACCCTACCCTACCCTACCCTACCCTGTTCTGTTCTGTTCTGTTCTGTTCTGTTCTGTTCTGTTCTATTCTATTCTATTCTATTCTGTTCTATTCTATTCTAAACATTGTTCCAAAAAAAAATTGGACTGAGATACTCTGAAAATCATAAAACGTTTATGAATGTAGATGATTACAAGCAGAGAGTGCAACCCAGTTGATACCTAGGCTGTGTATACAGGTAGTCCTCAACTGACAACAGCTCATTTAGTGACCATTCAAGGTTACAACGGCACTGAAAAAAGTGACTTATGGCTGTTTTTCACACTTACAACCATTGCAGCATCCCCAGGGTCACGTGATCAGAATTTCAGAGGCTCGGCAAGTGGTTCATATTTATGACGGTGGCAGTGTCCCGCGATCTCCTTTTGCGACCGTCTGACAAGCAATGTCAATGGGGGAATCCAGATTCACTTAACAACTCTGTCACTAACTTAACCACTGCTGTGATTCACTTAACAACTCCAGCAAAGGAAAGTCGTAAAATGGGACAAACTCCCTTAACAAATGCTTCCCTTAGCAACAGAAATTCTGGGTTCAATTGTGGTCATAACTCAAGGACTACTATACAAGGATGTCATCCTAGTGGACGTTTCAAAGAGGAGAAGACCTGAGCAGATACTATCATTAAACATAGTTAGATAGCTACCTTCAGAGGCGGAGGTTCATCCAGTTGACTTCTTCAATACACATCTAGAGCGAAGGAGTTTGACCAACTTCTGCGTTGCATCTGCAGTTCCCAAGCCAGCTGTTCTCATATAAGGTGAAGAAATAAAGGGAAGTATCTGTTGAAGGTACAACTGCCCTCTGCGAAGTAGTGCAACGGACCAGACAGCGAATAGATACGTTGCTTAGCAAAACACACAGATACTCACAGACTCTGAACGTTGATAGAAAAATAAACAGTCTTTACTTGTAGTAAAACAAACAAACTTGGCTTCTTAAAACAAAGATAACACTTCTTCAAATAATAACGGTTCAACACAAAAACATAGCTTGCTTACAATTCCAGTTCTTTTCAGTAATACACACACAGTTCCCTTCAGCAGTTCAACCTTCTAATAGCAGGAACAGAAGCTTAGCCAATTAATCAATTAGTCATCTTGTAGCAGTTAAAGTTACAGAACATAGTTTTCTATATATTATTTACCCAACCGTAGGATAAGCATCCAACAGTATCTTGAGTGCTTCAGGCTACAGAATGTCTTGGACCAGTTCATTGGGAGAGAAAATCCTAGAAGGGATCTGTTTGAGTTTGGTCCACTGGTGGGTTGGGATTGATGATCTGTTCCAAGATTGGAAGTTCCGTACCTTTCGTCAATTCATCTTACTGTTTTTATGAATTTACTGAAAAGTTGTCAAGGTTTGTCTTGAGAAATACTTTCCTCTGATAGTATCAGTCAAGGGTGGATTCTAAAAAAATGAATTAGTTTTTTTTAAAAAAAGACTGGTTAGGGTTTGGAGGAATCTTTCATCATAAAATGTAGCTATTGTAAACAAACCAAAATAGTCAACCTAATCCTAATAGGCCACTGATCTTCCTTGACATTGTATGAGTTTATTGGCTTTCAAATCCCTGTGTTGATTATTTGAGGGAAAAAAAATGATTATATTGCTTGAGTTGATAAAATGCAGTCTGGTGGGCAAACTTACCCCTTTAGTTCCCTGCACAAGTGAAGAGAAGATTAATTCCATTTACTGCAAAATGTTGCTTTGCAAAGTGAGATGGGTGGAATGCATGGATGGATGGATGAATGAATGAATGAATGCATGGACTCTGATGAGCTTGGCTGAGCTACTTTTTTTTTTTATTTCACTGACAAAAGCTTGATGACTTGATTTATAAAATGCATGTCCGTGGTCCATCAAGGTGAGCTTCAGTATCCCTTTACCACATGCGTGGCTCTCACCTTTGTCTTTCTTCTTTCTCCTGCTTTTTTTTCTTCTTCTTCTTCTTTGAAGGCCAGGTTGTCCATAGGTCACCATGGAGAGAGGTCCCTGGAAAGCTTTTGCCAATGGCAAAATGAAGAGTTTGGGGGTGCGAAGTACCTTGGGAACAATCAGGTTCCCGGAACACGAGATGACACTCTTCCAGTAGACGCTGCTGTCTTTGTTACAAGGTATGGAGTGAATTTGATTTGAGTGAGCAGTTGGCTTTCTACGGTGCTCCTGTCTGTTACTAGGAGAGTTAGGTCTAGGTCCGAGGGCAGTTTTTGAAGGTCTCCAAAGTGGATTAGAATGTTTCATGAATGAAGGTAAAATATACGTGTCCCAGGACAATGTTGCTGGATCCAATCTGATCATCAGGACCAAAGTTTTTTTCTTCCAAACTTTTGGGCTCATGCTGGAGCCCATCTTCATGGAACTGCTCTCTAAGTTGAGGGGAGAATCGCCTAAGGAGAAACTCTCCAGGAGAATGAAAAGTCAGAGACAAAAAGTCTCATTCTGGTCCCACTACATAGTTATGATGCTATTTCACATTTAGGAGTCTTGATAGCCCATGGATAAAAACTGTTCTTCAGCCTGTTTGCGCGGCTGGCTATGCTTCTATATCTCCTTCCCGATGGTAGGAAGGTAAAGAAGTGCTGACCGGGGTATGAGTCCTCCCTGAGGCAGGGAAACGAGCCTGTAGTACAGTGGACTAAAGCACTGTTATTAACAGATTAACATCTGCTGCTTGCAATTACTGCAAGTTCAAATCTCACCAGGCTCAAGTTTGACTCAGCCTTCCATCCTTTCAAGGTAGATAAAATGAGGACCCGGTTTGTGGGGGCAATAAGCTGACTTTGTATAAATATACAAAAGTATGAAGGCTATTGCTTAACGCATTGTAAGCCACCCTGAGTCTCCGGAGAAGGGCGGCATATAAATTAAAGCAAATAATAATAATAATCATAAAAATCCTCAAGCAAGGAAAAGTGACGGAATGCTGTTCAAATAGGGTGGATTTAGCATGGCAGATGCTCGTAATAACAGCCATGGAAAGAACTGCGCTGGATAAATGAAAAGATTAGGTTGTATTGTGAGAGAATTAGGCAGCATATAGAGGCCGGGCTTCAGTAAAACCACATCCCCTGTGCAAAATAAGCTGGCCCTGGATTCTCAAAACCCTTCCCTTCCTGTATATCCTCATTTCCCCCCATCCTGTTACGACTTCCCTCTTGCTAAAGGAGGGAACGAACCGGGAACAATTGTCGGTTGAACAATCTCCTGGCTCAGCTGTTTTGGTTCCTAGGGCACAGAAATTCGGCGGTTTTGCTTTTTAGCTTAAGTGCTGTCTTTCAGCGTGTGTGTTTGTGTGTGTGTGTGTGTGTATGTGTGCGTCTGGATGAACCCCAAATGGTACAGATGTGGACCAGTGGCAAAGGATGCAAAAGCAGAGCTGTGTCCAGCATGGAATGTCTAAGCCAAGGGGGTAAAAAACAACAAGAGCTGAATCTTCAACGTTTAGATTTCTTTTCTCTGCCTGTTTGTAACCAAAACCAGATATTTTACGATTGACCTCTAAAAACACTTCTTCTTCTTCTTTTTTTTTTTTTCCTGCGTGGAGCATTCTTTGCAGCGAAAAGGAAGCCAAGTTCTGTTCACCTTGGGAAACTTTCTTTTTTTTTTGCCCGTTGGTCTCAACTCATAAAGGCTTCCTTAAGTCTAGAGTAGCGAATATTACTTGGGTCATACAACAGACGAAGCCAAAATCCTCCAGCTACACGGTGGCTTAGCAGAATAGAGCATTATAGAATAAAACAGTTGGAAGGGACCTTGGCAGGGGTGGGGCTGCTGGGGGTTCGCAGGGGTTCGGGAAAACCTCTAGCTAAGATTCTGTGCAGTTTGGAGAACCCCCAAATCCCACTCCTGGCTGGCCCCGCCCTGCCCTCCCCACCCCTCCCTTCCTCATGCGGCCCGTTTTGGATGCAGGCAAGTGCAGGGCGTGTGAGGAGGCTCGAGGAGAGTGAAAAACGGGCTTACCGGAAGTTCAGGAAGGCCAGAAACAGGCCCGTTTTCAGCCTCCAGAGGGCCTTTGGAGCCTGGGGAGGCCGTTTTCACCCTCCTGGAGGCTCGAGGAAAGCCTCCGGAGCCCGGGGAGGGCTGTGTCATTTAAGGCTCTTGATGTGAGACTTAATGAGATCCTCTCTCATAATCATAATGAAACCTTCATAAAGTACTTTGGTTAATAGCAATAGCCCTTAGACTTATATATTACCTCTTACTGCAGTGATGGCTAACCTTTTCTGGACTGAGTGCCCAAATCACACGTGTGCACGAATGTGCACGCATGCTCTCCAAACCCCAAAATGCAATGTGTCTGCGCCCCTGCGCATGCACCCCACCCCCCACGCATGCACCTGCACCCCCTGCATGCATCCCGCCCTCATGCATGTGCATGCGGTCCCCTGCATGTGCCCTCCACATTTGCACACACTCCCTGCACACCTCCTGTGCATGCGTGGCAAAGACCCAAAGACCAGCTGGCCAACGGGAGGCGCATGGAGCTGAACTGGGACGACGGCTCACGTGCCATCAGAGAGGGCGCTGCATGCCACCTCTGGCACGCGTGCCATAGGTTCACCATCACAGTCTTGGTGCTTTACAGCACTCTCTGTTTGGTTTATAATGTCAGTCTATTGCCCCCAACAATCTGGGTCCTCATTTTACTGACCTCGGAAGGATGGAAGGCTGAGTCCACCTTGAACCCCATCAGGATCGAACTCCAGACTGTGGGCAGAGTTTGCCTGCAATTCTGCATCTTGTGTGTGTGTGTGTGTGTATAAATAGTTTTTATTGTAGTTTTTCTTTTCCAAAACTCTAATTTTATATATTGATTTTAATTGGTTTTAAATTTTATAAATCTATGTATTTTAATATGGCTGTACACCGCCCTGAGTCCTTCGGGAGAAGGGCGGTATAGAAATCGAATAAACTCTTAAACTCTAATACATATTCAAACAGACAATGTCATTTTTATATACTTTGGCTTAACAATTCACATAAAATCTATATTATATACATATATACATCTTCCGCTTCCTTATAAATATTACCTATTTTTATTTCTGTTGTCTATTCACCTATACCAGTTTTCCCAAACCGCATGGAAGGCTGAGTTAATCTTGAACCCCATCAGGATCGAACTCCAGACTGGGGGCAGAGTTTGCGGTTTGCAATTCTGCATTCTAACCACTGCGCCACCAGGGCTCTTCATAGCGTAAGGGTTTATATATTCGGTACCTATTACTAAGCTAGGTACATAGAGCAAAGCAACAATCGACACAATATACATTATAATCAGTTGTAAGATCATAATGTAAGGTAAGGAGCTTCTGAAAGCTATCTATAAAAATTATACCTTTGTTGTTTCTGGAATTATTATTATTATTTTACTTGAGGGGAGACTAGAAAGGGCACAACCTCAGCTTCTGCACCTTAAATTCAACAACGATTGGTTGGTTATCAGTTGCCAGCATTTTCCTCTTCAGCTTCCTTTTTTGGCTGCTATTTTAATAGTTCCCAGATGGGCCCTTGGCATTGAGAGAGGGTTCGTGGCTCGTCCAGGCATAAATAGCTGTTGCTTTTGCCCCATTTTACTGTCGGGAGCCTTGGCATTAGAGAAAGGAATTTGAAATCCAGGGAATTACCTGGAACTGCCAGCCCCTCATCATCCATGGTCCTGCAAGAGACAGAGATATGCCTGTGTTTTCATTCGCTAAGCTTGAAATCCCCTTTGAGAAAGCAGCTTTTTCAGTTGCAACCGTCCCGTCCTTTTTTACTCAAAGCATCTGTCCGATTTACCCGTTTATATAATCGTGCAATCTAGTCCTTGAATAAACTTTGTGAAGCTGAGTCTGGCAATTCCTGCAAGGATGATACTGCCAGCTGGGTCAAGAGGAGAAGGCCATCATCGTCTGCCCTGAGGCCAACTTTGCACTGCAAGCTTTTTAGATGTAAAGTAAAGCAGCCCAGAATTTCTCTGCTTAGATCAGCGGTCACCAACTGGTGGTCCGTGGACCATTGGTGGTCCGCGAGAAAATTTTGGTGGTCCGCAGAAAAATTATTTGCATTTTTTTAATATTGCACTAAATCAGGAGTCCTCAAACTACGCCCCCTGGGCCGGATACGTGCAATGAACGTTTGTGTTGCTGCAGAGAGCCTCCCCCTTCAGGGTCTTTTTGTACGGGTCGGAGGGAGGCAGAAATCCTGACTCGGGGTCTGCTTCAGCCTCCTGGTGCGGGGCTTTGGGCGAAGGCTGGAGGGAAGTGCCGCTGGTGGCAAAGAGCCGGAGGGCCTCGTTCCAGTGGGACTGCATCATGGCCTGGAACTGGCTGACCATCTCAGTCCGCTGAGCATCCAGGCGCCGGTACCTGGCCTTGCACTCCCGCAGGTCTTCCCTCTGCTTGGAAAGCCTATGCTCATAGTCCTCAGTGAGGTGCTTCTACTGAGCCTCCTCGGCCAGATCCAATTTGAACTGAGCTGTTTTGGCAACTCTTTCTCGTGGTGGCTGCTTAGCTCCAACAACTGCTTCCTGTTGGGGCCCTGAGGAGCCTGGGCGGGCTGGCGAGGCACCTCTCGACGTGAGTGACATCAAGTTGGCCATGTCCACCCAATCACATGACCACCTAGCCACGCCCACTCATTAGGCAGATCATATTAGTGGTCCACGGGATTTAAAATTATGAATTTAGTGGTCCGAAAGGTTGGTGACCCCTGGCTTTCTTTCTTTCTTTCTTTCTTTCTTTTATTAGATTTATATACCGCCCTACTCCTGAAGGACTCAGGGCAGTGAACAGGCACAAAAATAAAATACATAAATACAAAAATTTAAAAGCAAAAATAAAACCAGATTAAACAATTTAGCCCGAGACAAATTTAAAACATCCCAATAATTTAAAAACAGATTTAAAATTTTCAATTTAAAAGAAAAGGGGGGAAAAGGTTAGGCCAGGCCAGCTTGCTGGAATAGGAAGGTCTTAAGAGTGCGGCGGAAAGTGCACAGATCCGGGATCCTCCGTATCTCCGGGGGGAGCTTGTTCCAGATAGTGGGTGCCCCCACAGGGAAGGCCCTCCCCCTTAGATGTTAGAAGGTTAGAGTTTTGTCCTACTTCTGCTTGCAGTGCATGATGCTGACTTGAAAGAGAAACCTGGAGATGACTGAGGTTTGGGAAGAAAGAAAAGAATGAAGTAGCCATGGTCATTCACTTAACAACCACAGCAAAAAAATGTCGTAAAATGCCCGATGCGAAAGACCAGATCCACCCTTGAAGGCTCAATTAAGCTGATTGATTGCTAAAAGCCTATGAACAGGAATCTTTTCAACTAATGGTCAGCATCTGGTTAGAATTAGATGAGGGTCAACATCACTGAATGGGAGTTGGATTGATTTTGTTTGTGGCTATGTAGGGATTCTAGGCAGATTCCTCTTTTCACGTCGCCCCCAGGTTCTGCGGTTCCTTCTACATAAAATCAGGCACAACTCACTTATGACTACCTTGCTTAGTGACGAACGTTCCTAGGGTAGTCGTAAGTCAAGGGCTACCTGTAAAATGAAACATGAAAAGAATATGTATGTATGAATGAATGAATGAATGAATGAATGAATGAATGAATATGAATTTGAATTTACCTGTCCCCAGTGGTGGGTTGCCCCCGGTTCAGACCGGTTCACAAGAACCGGGAGTAAAACCGGTGGGAGGCCCCGCCCACCACCCCGGATGTTATCATCGGCAATCTGCGCATGTGCGCGATCTCGTTGCGAACCGATAGTAAATGTAAGTAGAACCCACCCCTTCCTGCCCCTAGTGCAATATCTTACATTTAAATGCAGTAAGTAACAGGAACAGAGTTGGAAGGGACCTTGGAGGTCATCTAGTCCAACCCCCTGCTCACGCAGGAGACCTGTACTAGGGATTCGAACTGCCAAACTGCCAACCTTTCTGATCGACAAGCTCAGTGTCTTAGCCACTGAGCCATCTTAGCGGCTTGTAGGTGACAGACACTCTGAAAATGTGTGTCCATGTATACAACCTGTATCTCTTCCTTTTAAGGAATGTTCCTAATTATGGTTTATTATTTTCAGGACAGATTTTTGTGTCCATAAGGATGAGCCATGTGACACAGTGGGTAAGTAAACCTACAGATGTTTTTCATTTTACAATGCATTGTTTTACCGCATTTACCAGTGAGGAAGACTAATTGCCTGCCCCTCCCCCTTCAGATAATTTACCTTTAACATGGTGTGGTTGTGTTAGATTGGCCGAGAGTACAAGAAAGAAGAAAGTGGTTTGTTTGTTTTTTTCTTCTTAATTCTGTTTTTTTGGAACGGGACCCGCGTACTTATCGTCATGGTTGTCTTCCTTTTCAGCACATTATGGTATGTAAAGAGTTTGTCTCACTAACCATGGAGACCATAACAGTCACTAATTGCTCCGCAGATGAAAAATGGATGTAATACATTTGAATGTTCACATCCATTGTTGTTGTTGTTTTTTTCTGTGCCGCTGGAGCTGCAAGGGGTTTGGGGGTCAGGCTGGGATTCAAATTTTTTTAACTACTGGTTCTATGGGTGTGGCTTGGTGGGCGTGACATGGCTTGGTGGGCGTGGCAGGGGAAGTATATTGCCAAATCTCCATTCCCACCCCATTCCAGGGGAAGGATACTGCCAAATCTCCATTCCAACCCCATTGCAGGGAAAGGATATTGCAAAATCTCCATTCCCACCCCATTCCAGGGGAAGGATGCTGCAAAATCTCCATTCCCACCCCACTCCAGGGGAAGGATGCTGCAAAATCTCCATTCCCACCCCATTCCAGGGGAAGGATACTGCCAAATCTCCATTCCCACCCCATTCCAGGGAAAGGGTATTGCAAAATCTCCATTCCCACCCCATTCCAGGGGAAGGATACTGCAAAATCTCCATTCCCACCCCACTCTGGGGCCAGCCAGTGGTGGTATTTGCCGGTTCTCTGAACTACTCAAAATTTCCGCTACCGGTTCTCCAGAACCTGTCAGAACCTGCTGGATTTCATCCCTGGTTTAAACGTTTTAAATAAGTAAATATTTACAGAGTACTTGCAAGCACTTCAGATGCTAGGTGACCGAATTGTCATAGAGATAGACTGTTCTGACACAACTGGCACTTCAACAGTTTTGTCTATATTGACCTCAGGGTCGCAGTCAATAAATATTTTATATCCAAAGGCTGAAGAATTAGCGTAATTGCCTTAGGAAGCTTTAAAAGTGTTTAATTTGTAGTTCTTTGCAACTGCGGTGCAGAGTTTTAGGGGAACTTTTCTAATATTAGAATTAGAATTCTTTATTGGCCAAGTATGGTTGAACGCACACTCGGCCAATAGGACAGGATTTTGTCTTGGGTGCATAAGCTCGCAGTGTATATACAAGCAACAAGTGATAAATTATGATCATAATCATCGTAAAAGACATTCATCATAAACTATAAGGTACTGCACTCAGTGCTAGCCATAGGATACTAAATAAGCAATCCACATAAATCATACTAGGACACTAAATAAAACAATATAAATTGTAAGATACAAGCAGCAAAGTTATAGTCACAAGGACATAAGGAAATAGGAAAAGTGAGAAAGATAATAGTAATACAGCCCTACTGGGTAATTTGGAATAGAGTAGAATAGAGTAGAGTAGAGTAGAGTAGAGTAGAGTAGAGTAGAGTAGAGTAGAGTAGAATAGAATAGAATAGAATAGAATAGAATAGAATAGAATAGAATAACAGAGTTGGAAGGGACCTTGGAGGTCATCTAGTCCAAACCCCTACTCAAGCAGGAGAACCTGTACTATTTCAGACAAGTGGCTGTAGTCTCTTCTTAAAAATCTCCAGTGATGGAGCGTCCACAGTTTCTGAAGGCAACCTAGTCCACTGGTTAATTGTCCTCACTATTAAAAAGTTTCTCCTTAATTCCAGGTTGTTGTTTTTTTAATTTGATTTATATGCCGCCCTTCTCCAGAGACTCAGGGAGGCTTACAATGTGCTAAGCAATAGCCTTCATACTTTTGTGTATTTATACAAAGTCAGCTTATTGCCCCCACAAACTGGGTCCTCAATTTACCTACCTTAGAAAGGATGGAAGGCTGAGTCAACCTTGAGCCTGGCGGGATTCGAACCTGCAGTAATTGCAGGCAGCTGGTCTTAATAACAGGGTGCTTTAGACCACTGTACTACCAAGGTTGCTTCTCTCTTTGGTATTTCACTGTTATAAAAAGTATAATGTTGGTGATGACCCATTCATCCTTAAGACTAGGTCTCATGCTACATGGTGGCATGTTGTGATTCTTGTACAGAACTGAAATCCATAGGACTTCTCTCACTGTCTTTGCTTCTAATATACATACTGATATTACAGGGGGAAGAATAACAAGGGCTGCTTAGGACAGCAGCAGCAGGAGAGATCCATTAAAAAGAGATCTCCAACTTACTGTATTTTTTGGAATATAAGATGCACCTTAGTTTTTGGGGAGGAAAATAGGAAAAAAAAAATTCTGTGTACCAGGTATTCATCTGGCTAGTCCTTAGCCTGGTCAGCTTCAGCACATTAGTTCACGCACTGGTTTTGAGGTTGGAGCTGGTTGGGGCTAAAAAAACAGCTTCTAAACACAGCTGATCGTCGGAGGGAGCAGCAATTAGAAAAGCAGGCAAAGCACGGAAGATCGCTTCGCTCATGTTGGGGCTGAAAAACAGCTTCAAAAGCACAGCTGATTGTCGGAGGGAACTCCAGTGACTAAAGCAGGTGAAGTGTGGGAGGGGTAAGAAAAGGCAGAAGCTGTTCTGGGTAGCCATTTTGGCCACCGCGTGTCAGCGGTGATGTGCTTTGGTGATCCCCGCAGCCTTGAAAGGGCTCTCAAACGGAGCGTTTGGAGGCTGAAAGGAGCTGAAAAACACAACCATTGTTGGTGGCAATCTCTGCAGCCAGGAAGAGGACGCACGGAGGCTGAAGGGTGGGTTCTGGCGGGTGGACTGGGTTACATTCGGAGTATAAGACGCACCCAAATTTTCAGTCTCTTTTAGGAGGGAAAAAAGTGCATCTTCTACTCCCAAAAATATGGTATTTTGAGGGTGGAATGTTCTGATCCTCAGGCAATTCTGATCTTGTTGGAAGATCATTGTTTGTTGTTCCAGCCTTACCAGAAGAGTTTTGACATCAAAACTGATTTTGATTTTTAATTACCCCAAAGAGGATAAAACATTACCCTTGGAATGAAGGACTTTTTTCTGGTAGCGTCAGAACAATGTTGGAATACTTCTGGTAAAATGAGAAGTCCTTTTATGGTCTCAGAACATACGGAGTTGTAGCCATTCAGCTTTAGCTCCTGCGAAAAAATAGCTTGTCAGATATTATTATCGTTTTATCTTAGATGTGGAGGGATAATCCAAGAAGACAGGACATGGTGAGGCTGCAAGGAAAAGCTGAGACATACATTCTCTGTTTTCAGTATTTATTGGAGCTGCCCTAAAACCCTCGTACTATGAGTGGAAAGTAATGACTCACAACACCATGATTGTCTACAAAGCCAATGGAAACCATATTTCCGTGGGATAAGCATGCAAACTGTCTACCTGAGTCCAGATGTAGCCACAGACGAGCATGTGCTCAGCAACTCATGGGCTGAAACCATTTTGATGGAAGACACATGCTATCACTTAGGAGCCAACATCTCATTTCATAGGATCTCTAACCATTGAAAAAAAGGGTTTTTTTGGGGGGGGGAGGACAGGAAGGGATATGTTATCTTTGTGCAATCTCAGTGTGAAAACAAGAATGGAGGATGATATAAAGCAGGGGTCTCCAACCTTGGCAACTTTAAGACGTATGGACTTCAACTTCCGGAGTTCTTCAGCCAGCAAAGCTGGCTGAAGAACTCTGGAAGTTGAAGTCCATACGTCTTAAAATTGCCAAGGTTGGAGACTCCTGATATAAAGGGTTTTTTTTTTTCTTCATGTTCGTGACTCTGTTGGGAATCTTTGGCCAGAATGTCCCTGTTGTGACCCAGGCCCAAGTAGATATTATCAGACGCAATCAGTTCGAAACAAACAGACTTTATTAGAACAGCTGAGAATTAACTCATTCTCAGCGTAGTCCAAACTAATTCAAAACAAATTCTTCATAACGCAAATTCTTCAGCCTTATCACCAAAAAGAAAAGGGAAGAATACGATCCGAATGAAGATTGTGTGCAATTGGAGTTTTTCTTACATATAAGTTTAATTTATAAATGAAGAATCTAAAATATATGCCAGGAAGTACCCTGTTTTCCCCAAAATAAGACATCCCCTGATAATAAGCCCAATCGGGCTTTTGAGTGCATGGCAATAAGGCCAAGTACTTATTTCAGGGTTCAAAATAATATAAGACAGGGTCTTATTTTTGGGAAAACACGGTATGCAATGGTGTCATCTAGGTTGATGTGGGATGCTTATGAAAATAAGAATCCATAAATTGTTGCTAATTGCATGTTACACTTGAGTGAGTGACAATAATTGGAGAATAAATGGGAGCTGAGGGGAACTGTACAATATTCCGAATGAATGTCACCCAAAGGAAAACATATTTTGACATGAATGGATGGGTGCGAATGTGACAAGAAACAAAAGAAACAATTGGACCACTTGATAATCCAAGAATGATTGAGAACTGGGATTGTTTGGTTAGCATTTGCTTAGAAAGATGTCTTTGTTCAATCAATCTAGGGCTTTTTGTATGTACCCATGACAAAAGGATCCCTGTGAGTGATTTAATTGTTTATAATAAAAGATTGGGACAATTAGCTTGCTGATGAAAGATTCTGACTGTGAGTGGAATCGTTCTTTGTAGTATCAGAATGAATCTTGGGGGGAAAGTGGTCCTGAAAGAAAAGAAGTGAAACAGAGTAGAGCAACTACAGGAAGAGATTAGTCCTGGATGAAGAAGTGTTAGAAGAAAGATGAATCTCACACATAGAAGGTAGATGAACAGAAAGAGGATACGGAAGTTGCTTGGACAGAATGGACAGAATTCTGTCATCATGTGGCACATCAGTGTGCAGAATAATTGAGATATATGATGGATGGATGGGTGGATGGATGATGGATGGGTGTATAGATGATAGAGG